GCGGTGCTGCTCACTTTTGCCGTGTCCCCGCAGGAGCTGGAGGCGATGAGCAGGTACACCAGCCCGGTGAACCCGGCCGTCTTCCCGCACCTCACCGTGGTGCTGCTGGCCATTGGCATGTTCTTCACTGCCTGGTTCTTCGTGTATCCCCGGGCGGGAGCGGGGAGGTAGGGGAGCGGGCGGGGGGCCCTCACCTTGCTCTGCCTCCGTTATCGCCTTAACCCCGGGGCCGCAGCTACGAGGTGACTTCTACCAAGTACACTCGGGACATCTACAAGGAGCTGTTGATCTCGCTGGTGGCCTCGCTCTTCATGGGCTTCGGCGTCCTCTTCCTGCTGCTGTGGGTCGGTATCTACGTCTGAGGAGCACCGGTACCACCTTGCGAATCTCCTACAGCTGTAAGCTCCTTGAGGTCTTAACTCTATGGGGGGTCCTGGAAATGTATCCCTGTGACAGCTGATCTTTACAAAAGCCACCTTTCTTCAGGGGCAAAGTGAGGACGCACCAAAAGGCTGCGCCCTCGTCCCAGCAGCAGCCTTTTGGGCTTAAGCATCGCAGCTACTCCGAGCTGCAAAGCGGCCATTGGGGAACTTAGCTGGAGAGCGCTTCTATGCCCGGCTGTTAACTGTGGGCAGGATTGGCGTTCATCCCCGTTTGAGGCAGCAAGGAATCGCGTGTGCTGGGTGTTGTCCTTTGCTCTGTGGCTTTAGTAGCAGCAGAGGCCGGCCCTGGGGAACGCTGGCTCCCTGATCTCCTTCGTCTCTCATTTGGTTCTAGGTGGGAAGCCCTGCAGAAGCTCTTTTTGTATCTTTTATACGTCAACAACAAAGCCCGTATCAGGCATGGACTGTGCTCCTCTCGAGTGACTTCTGCCAGCCCAACAAACCAAACCTGAATAAATGGCTCCATGATGCACCCACCTTTGGACTCATGGTTTGTCTTTTAGATACTTTTTTTTTCCCCACCTTTTCCAAACCACTTTGATATTGCCACAAGACCCATGTGCCTTGGGACGGGCCCCGTGTTTATCACAGATTTCCACTGCTGTGTATGCCCAGAAGCGTTTCAGGGCCACCTCGTGCCCTAGTGCAGCTAGGCTCTAGAAAATAAGCGCGTCCTGCTTCTTCCTAAGCCTGCTTTTATATCCCTCAATCTTCATTACCATTGTGTCCCCTCTCCCTCTTCCTGGAAGGCTGTGCCCATTCTCATCCCGAGCCAGCAGCTTTTGAGGCTCAGCGGCACTGGTGGCCCCTCGCAAAGCGAAGAGGGACAGGGACCGCTCCGAGGCGCTTCGCTTACTGTCGGCAGCGTGTGCTGGGGACCTCCTGCGCTAGAAGCGGGGCTGATGGAGACGCCCGGTCCCGCTCTTCAGCCAGGCTCTGTGCTCCTGAGGCATGCAGCAGCGGCTGGGTGGACGTACCGTTTGGCCTGGGCGAAACAGCGCTTGCTGAACAGCCTCCAGCCAGGGTTACCAGGTAGACGCGCTGGTGCGGCTCCTCGGACGCGAAGCAAGGCAAACGCTCGTCTGGTGAGCGCCGCAGCGGGTGACGCAAGCTGTGTTTGTGGGAAATGAGGTTTTGAGAGGAATGCTTGAACAAAATAATCTTGTAGCTGGATGTGCCCTTTGGTTAAGTAGTGAATTAGCTGCCTTGACTATAAAAGAGGAGTTTGTTTATGGCACGCGTAACTATATTTTCGTAGGTAGCTTTGAATTTGTAGCCCAGCTTTCAAAGCAATTAGACTTCAAAATCAGAAGACTTCAAATTCAACAGGTAGCTTCCAGATTTAAAGCCCAAATTTCCTGCTTGGGAAGGAAGCTTTCCCTCTGCGGATGCTCTCGGATGCCTCTGGATCTGGCCCTGACCTCTAAGGCACGAGCAACGAGAGTTCTTTTTTTTTTTATACCTGTTTGAAAGCAGCGAGCAGCCACAGCCTGGGGCTGTTCTGCCCCTGCATGGGCAGGCCTGGAAATTCCCCCTGATTCATGACACGGGGGTTCCTCTGTCTTGTGGGAAACAGTTTTATAGCTACTGAACTGAATGACTTATTTCATAGCAAGGGAGGAACGCGCCAGGAGCCGTCCTTGGATACAAAGCGGTATTTATATATTTATTTATATGGGCATATTTACCTCCAGCATAAAACAAAGTCTAAATAAGCCGAACAAAAAAAAGTGGGGAATCCGGACACTCAGCACTCAAATTCAGCAAAATATAAATATAAATCAGAAAGAAAGGAGGGAAACCACGCTTGTTCCCCACAAATAAAAACCGATAATCAATAGTACCTGCTAAGAATGCAACTCTACAAACTTGCTGGCAATATACAGTGATTAAAGCTGTGACAGCAACATTTAAACCAAACAAATTAGTGCTTTACCTTTTTTTTTTCTTTTTCCTTAATTCTTGCAGTGGTGGCATAGTCTCTATTTACAGGCTTTAAGCTCTAACAGTAGGACAGAATGTTTGTGAATTTGCTTTTGAAACAAACTCCGAAACAGCCAAACTTTGGCAAGTGGCCTCGTTTCCACACTTGTCTTCCTTCCTGCCAAGAATGTCTAGAGAGATGAAGCGTCTCAGTTTCCAGCGGAAAGAGAGGGTTGGGTTTTTTTTTCCCCCCAAGCTGTATGGCTGGAGACATCGGCTCAGAGCTCCCTCCGTCTCATGCAGGGAACGGCCTGATTGTGAACTCTCTCGGTACTGATTGGGGACGGGGAACACACCTTCAGTTAGGGCAGGGACACCTTTTGGGGGGGAGGCCATGCAAACAGCTGTTTCCACAGGCTTAGAAGCAATCCCGTGACCCTTTCATAATTACAACCCCCTTCTGAGCTCGTTTCTGCCTTGCTGTGCGGCGCCTGGTGGGACTGGTGGATGCTTCGTGATATACTTTAAGACAAAAAAAGATACTATTGCGATAGAAGACGCTAAAAACTGCGTTCTGAATCCCTCTCCTGATAGCAGGGATTGCTGGCAGCCCAGCGCTGCTCCGCTGTGTGACAGCCGTACATGGGTAGGGCCAGCCTTTGTGCTTTACGTGTTGCCTCACCTCGGTTCTTTAAGCTAACCGGCCACTGTTTTTGAGGCACGTGGCATTTTATGCATGGGTGGGAAACCGCTGTTAGCAAAAAAAGGCACTGGAGATGTTCCTGTAGCCCTTAGGCACTTGGTTTGCCAGGGGCCCTCACAAACCCCGTGGCTAAGCGTGGCAGGGACACCTGAGAGACTCCGTCTTCTCTCGGGCCACCGCTGCTAGCACGGTTCTAGCGATTGATTGATTCCTCCCCTCCAGGAGTGGCTTTCCCCGCAGTGGGATGCAATGCACGCGTGGGTCTCGGCTGACCTCAGCCGGGCCCGCCAGCGAGGGGGTGGATTGGTGGTGGCGATTGCAGGCAGCGCTTTCGGCTCCGGCTCTCCCAGCACCGCCCGTTACCTCTTCAGGGGCTAAAGGAGTGCCCAGGCTTTTAGTCCAGCTCGACAATCTGAGGGAAAAGAGCAGGTCTGAGAAGGCTACCTCGCAGCTGAGCAGGCATCAAAGAGCACATGGCATCGCTCGCCTGAATAAGGACTTGCCAGGCTGGGCCACTGATTGCCAAGCGGAGAATAAAAGCTGCCAAGAAAGTAACTTCCCGGTTTAAGGCCAAACAAAAAAAAGCTCAGGGCAGGTGGAGGG